AAAGGAAAGGAATCTTTAGGGCATGCCTTGTTTAAATACTTATAGTCTACGCACATTCTAAGTTTGTTTCCCTTTTTAGGGACTACAACTATGTTTGCTAACCATTCGAGATATTTTACCTCCCGAATAGATCCTACATTGAGAAGTTTTGTTACCTCGTCCTTAATGAATGCATATTTTACCTCGGACTGGGGTCTTCTCTTTTGTTTTATCGGGCGTAACTTTGTGTCCAAGCTTACTCGATGCATAGTGATCTCCGGTGGGATCCCTGTCATATCTAGGTGGGACCAAGCAAAACAATCCATGTTATTTAAAAGGAATTGGACGAGTTTTTTCTGAGCTTGGGATTTAACCCCATGCTCAGGTATACCTTTCCATCGGGCAGATGCTCGATCAGTACGATTTGTTCCAGCTCTTCAACTGTTGACTTTGTTGCAACAGAATCATCGAGGATTATGAAGGCTCGAGGTATCATATAATCATCATCCTCAAAAGTTTCCTGCTCCTCCGATCGGGCCGAGGCCGGTGACTGTGGTTGTTATTTAACTTCTTGCTTTCCCTTCGACTCTGATCCCTTTGTTAATGACAGTGCCGATACTGGTACTACCTTATCGATTGCAAATATTTCTTTGGTGGCAAGTTGTTTACCGTACCCCATTTTGATTCCTTCTGATGTTGGGAATTTCAATACTTGATGAAGCGTCGAGGGCACTGCTCTCAAGTTGTGAATCCAAGGCCTTTCGAGCAGCGCGTTGTACCTCATGTCACCTTCGATCACATGGAACTTTGTTTCCTGGATAGTCCCAGCCACATTTACTGGAAAAATGACTTCCCCTTTGGTGGTTTCACTTGCTATGTTGAAGTCGTTGAGTGCTCGAGTTGCAGGCACGATTTGATCTTGGAGACCGAGTTGTTCTACAGCCCTTGATCGAATAATGTTTGTCGAGCTACCTGGATCAATCAACACACGTTTAACTTGAATTTTATTCATAAGGATAGATATTACCAGTGCGTCATTGTAAGGTTGTTTGACCCCTTCTGCATCTTCATCGTTGAAAGATAAGGTTTCTTCCGGTAAGTAGTCCCGAGTTCACTTTTCCCTTATGATCATCACCTTGGTACATTTAAATACTAGCCCTTGAGGAATATCGGCCCCTCTAATGATCATATAAATCACATGTTGTGGCTCTTCCTGCTCATTTTGCATGTTCGAATCCCTGTTTCTGAAGTGATTCTTGGCACTATCACTTAAGAATTCTCTAAGGTGACCCTCGTTGAATAAATGAGCTATCTCTTCCCTCAGCTGTCTGCAGTCCTCGGTTTTGTGTCCATAGGTACCATGGTACTTGTATATTTGATTAGGGTTCCTTTGAGCTGGATCGGTCTATAGGGATTTGGGACATCTAGTATCCTTGATCTGTCCAATGGCTGACACAATACATGATGCATCTATGTTGAAGTTGTATTCTGATAGTCGTGGTGCTTCTGTGGGCTCAACATTTTTGTCGAAGCCACTTTTACTCATGAACCCTTGGGAGCTATGTCCTCGATCATTTCTTGGATCTTTTCGATCCAGATTACATCTGTGGCTGCTGCTTTTACGACCTGCACTATATGGTTGGTACGAATCTCTGTTCGATCAAGTTTCTCTGTTGATGTCCCTCTGAATTCTGCCGACGGGCCTATTCGAGTAAACGGAACCGGAAGGGGTTCCCAATTAATCATTCTCGACCCTGATCTTTAACTGGTATCAATTATGTACATCGACCCAGGTCACAGCTGGATATTCAATTAAATCCTGCTTTAATTGTCGTGATGCTATCGATCTTCTTTTGTTCAAACCTTGAGTGAAGGCTTGAACAGCCCAATCATTTGTGATCGGGGGTAGGTCCATGCGTTCCATCTGGAATCGAGATACGAATCCCATTAACATTTTGTTGTCCTTTTGTCTCACTTTGAAGAGGTCCGACTTCTTAGTCACAACCTTTATTGCTCCGGAGTGTGCCTTTACAAAGGAATCTGCAAGCATGGCGAAGGAATCGATGGAATTGTACGGCAAATTGTGGTACCATATCATCGCCCCTTTCGATAAAGTTTCTCCAAATTTTTTCAATAGAACGGATTCAATCTCATCATCTTCTAAGTCATTTCCCTTTATTGCGCATGTATAAGAAGTGACATGCTCATTAGGCTCGGTAGTCCCATTATATTTGGGAATTTCTGGCGTACGGAATTTCTTCAGGAGGGGCTTCGGAGCCGCACTTGGAGGGAAAAGCTTCTGCACGAACTTCTTCGAATCCAAACCTTTTAGAATTGGTGGTGCCCCCGGTATTTGGTCAACCCGGGAGTTGTATGTTTCTACCTTTTTGTCATTAGCCTCGATTTTCTTTCACCTGATTAAATCCATTTAGTGAGCTCCTCGAGCATTTTCATAATGGTGGGGTCAGTCCCCGATTCATTGGCGTTCGGTTTCTCCGGTACAGGTTCGGCTCTATGAATAACTTCTTGTGATGTTTTGAGCTCAATTCTGCTTGGTGCTCGATTCTGATTTTGGAGTTGTGGTATCGCAGCTTGTTGAGTCTGCAACATCTTGAATATCATTCGAAGGCTAATTCCGCCTTCTTCACCGCTCTGTGCGTTCTGATCAGCTGCTCGAGCATCCCTGCAGATGCTATTCTCAAGGTCGACGCCCAGATTCCTATTAATGGTAATGCAGGAGTTGACATCAACCGGGTCTACGACCGGCGGTCCATTGAGGTTGATTGGAGGAACTCCGTTTCCCAGGACGGCACGTTTTCGTTCTCGCCATAAGGACCAAGACCGTTATCCGTGTGAGTGGGTGATACTTGAGAGTTTGACATGTTGATTCCTAAAATCAAAGACACTTACGAGAGCAAGTGTAAAGCAATGTGTGTTACGAGAATTAATATCAGGCAATCACTATTATCCTTAGCCCCACGGTCGGTGCCAAACTATTTACCCTAAAAATTGGATAATAATTAAACTTATGATGTGGTTTTAAGGACACTTGATTTCACCTAATACCAATTGATGAATATGAAGCAATAATACAAATTAACAATGAGATAAAGCAAATCAGTGTTGAAACGTAATTCAGCCCTCGAGCTTGAGTGCCCTCGAATTGGTCGGTACCCCAATAGTTAAGAATAAGTAAATTGATGAACAAGAATATAAACTAGACAGAAAGTATTGTATTGCTTTGATATGCGTCAATGTAAAGTGATTACAAAATGATTAGAACCCTCTTTATATAGTAGAGGAATCATATCTATGATACAATTCTAATTATAGAAGTAAATCCCATGATTAGCTAGTTAATCGTCCTAGATTTGATCCGTTCCGAGATTTTCTCCCTGATCTTTGACCAGTCACAGATATCTCGCCGTTCTGTTATTATGCTACCTTCGATCTTACTCGATGTTTGTCTTATTTGGTCTCAATCACTACCGGCCTCGATCTTGACAGGTACCTCGAATCCCGAACTTGGTACCCAGCCTTCTTGCCTCGGTGCCCAGTCTTCGATCCTTCACCCCGATCCCGGTAAATCAGTAAAATCGGGTGGCCCCATTTTAGCCGTATACAATATATGGACCATGGAGCATAATGTTTGATCAAATAATCCTCCGTTCAACCACCAGCATAGGTTATTTCTTCACAGGAATGGCTTGATATTTTGTTTCTATAGAAATTTAAATCTGGTTCTACTAGTCTCATTTCGATTTTATTAACTGCAAGGTCCTACCATGAAGTGCTGGTAAAAGGATTACAAAACTAACAAACATTTGAAAGAATTTAACTACTAGTCCTATAAATAGGCTTACGTTTTCTTCTCATAATTAGAAAATTGAGTATTGTATCATAAGAACATAATAATAATAAAAAAATAATAATAATAATCAAATTTAAAAGCTTAAAAGATCATATTTTTCTGTTCAGAAGAAAAATAATTGGGTGACCATTACGTGAAAAACTTAATGCGTTTATTATTTGTCATTCTTCGCATAACTCTGATAACACAATGCGAGATGAGTTAGTAAGTGGACATTCGATTTCTTCAAACCAAAATAATGTGTGCGCACGATCATAGGTTGATGAACCAACTTATCAGTCCTAAAGTTGAAGTATTGCACTCAGGCACGGATTCAGAACTTAAATTCTTTGGGGTTCAATCTTTAATGTTTTTAGCATTGAACTTATTATATTTTTAAAATTATGAATTTAGACTTATTCTTAATTCCAATTTTAGCGAATATTTACATACGAATTTATACACCGCGTTAAAAATACTGAATTCAGATGCTCCTTAGCTAAATATATTCGTTAGGATAGATATGCAATGCTAGTTAGCTTCCTCCAATTTGCACCATTGTGTATTAAGAGCAGGTCCTATATTTGTACACATGTAAGTAAATGAATGATCCCATGACTCAATAAGTGATAACCAAATTCATATCGTGGACATTAATAGTTTTGAAAATCATGCACTAAATCAACACGAAAGAGTAATTCTCTAACTTCTAGTTCATAGCCCAATCCTGTAACTAAATTCATACGGTATAATACTCAATACTTAAACTCGTGGACGATGTGATTTGTCTAAACTACTCTGTCATGAGTTGTATGCAAAAGTCAGGTGCTCACCAGATTTCATTTTATAGTTCTTGAACTTGTTTCTGCCATATATCCCTCAACCCATTTAATTTAATAGAAATATCATTTTTAGTCCTTGTGTTATTGCTTTTTGTTCCTTGTAATATTCGACTTAATGTATTTAACCTTCAATGAAGCAATATGTGTATTTTTAATCCTTTTACTAAGGGACAACAAATTGTGTGACTGATAGCCTGTTTAGCCAAGCTTCTCCAAAACCAAAAGAAAAATATGCTCTTTTTTTCAAAGTTGAAGTGTTTGACCAAGCTTTTAGAAGAAAAAAAGCAAGATAGTAGGCGACGAGACTGCATTTACCTGACCCTGACTTCCATCAAATTGGATACATCACAACTGATAAAGGATTAAAAACAAAAACGAGCAGACAATACAGAGGTGCATGTATTCTATTCCCAAACAACCATCTCAAATTAATAGTTGCTCTATATTCTAATCAAATGTGCTAAATAGTTTTTTTACAGTGAATTTTACCACTAAATACTTCACCTTTTCTTCTCAGCGAAGCTGTAGCGAATAGATTCCAGTTCAACCAGCAACCAAAGACCTGCAAAAAACCAATGCAACCACCATGTATATCTGAAACAAACCATTTTGTCTTCTTCCCACCATTCGAAGCCATAAAAGCGAAAAAGAAAAAAGAACAAGATGAAGTAATGCTGGTAACATTGGGCTCTTACCATTAGTAAATTTTAGTTTGAACACGACATCAATATAGGCTACCAGCTTCATCTACATACTCGCTGCTATATGTGGAGTCATCATTGTCAAAAATCGTAATCATAATCTATCGTAATCATAATCATACTCACGAGAGTCCCCAAGGCTGAGGCCGTAATCGTAGTCATAACAAATATCGTCATCTTCATCAGAAGACGGGCGACGCTGATTTTCAGAATGAAATTCATAGTCATGTGTGGAATCACCGGGGCGCTTTAGATCTACAATCTGTTGCATACATCTTCTTTCTAAGTCCCCTTCAAGATCAACACAACAACAGCAGCGCAAGTCAAGTGATTCAAGGAGCGAACAGCCATCAAGAATGGCAAGCAATCCTTTATTTGTCAAGCTATTTTGAAGAAGTGCAAGGTGCCTCAATTTAGGCATACTTTTGGCAATAGCTAGAGCTTGATCATTGCATTGAGATGGTGGAAATATCAAATTTCCATATTCAGTGGCATTCAATGTAAATGACTTGAGCAGGGGGCAATAACGACCAACACTTTCTATATCATCTTTAGTAATCAAGGTAAAGTAAATGTGCAACTCCTCCAGCAATGGGAAGTTCTTGGCAGCTGCAGCCCAACCTCCAACTAAGTTACTATAACACTTGACAACTCGAAGATGTCTGAGCTGACTTGATCTGTTAGAAAGAACAACAAATTTATTACTTTAAGAGAACTCCTATTTCAGGGGTGGCAACAAAACGATACGAGCAATTACAAGAACACCACAAGGAAAAGGACAGCCATGGTCTAGAAACTTATAGATCAGCTGAAAGAGATAGAATCTCCTCCTCCTCTATAGATAGACTAACATTTCTCTTGATTATCAGGTTTGCATAAGAGGATAGAAGGATCTATTTTGTTGCTGGTATCAAATCCTTTGACATTACAGAAATTTACTCGAGTCGGTAACTTTTATAAATGAGCCGAAAGCTTCCCAAGGCAGTGGTAACTTATTTCGAATTTGGAGACTACATAACTCCAGGGTTCTTTTGCTCTCAGAAAGTTAACAGATGCGGAGAGATTCTTGAGTATTTGTAAGACTACAAGGTAGAAAAAGAATTGTTACCATCTTGCCGAAAGTAAACCACAACTAAGGGTAGAAGAATCTATCAAGCAAAATTGCTAGAGCTGTTGACAAAGGGGAAGCTCCCGGTAACAATAACCATTCACCTAAGCTGACAGAAACTTTTGCAGAAGTGGTTAAAAGAATATGTGGAATGTAAGTTCAGCAACGTGACGGGGGAAGCGGATGTGGAAGTTAGGCTTGACTACAGGTCATCCTCAAGAGAGAAAGTTTTAAGTACTTAGGGTCTATTATCCAGGGAGATGGGGAGATCGATGGGGATGTTACGCACCGTATAGGAGTGGGGTGGATGAAATGGAGGTTAGCGTTTGGAGTCCTGTGTGACAAGAATGTGCCACCGAAACTCAAAGGTAAGTTCTATAAACCGGTGGTTAGACTGGCCATGTTGTATGGAGCTGAGTGTTGGCCAGTCAATAATTCACATATCCAGAAGATGAAAGTAGCAGAAATGAGGATGTTGAGATGGATGTGTGGGCACACTAGGCTGGATAAGATTCGGAATGAAGATATTCGGGAGAGGGTGGGCGTGGCTCCCGTGGACGACAAGATGCGGGAAGCGCGGCTTAAATGGTTCGGACACGTGTGGAGGAGATGCACCGGTTAGGAGGTGTGAGCGGTTGACTTTGGCACGTACGAGAAGAGGCAGAGGGTGGCCTAGGAAGTATTGGGGCAAGGTGATCAGGCAGGACATGGCGCGACTTCAGATTTCCGAGGACACGGCTCTTGATAGGAACATGTGGAGGTCGAGCATTAGGGTGATAGGCTAGGGGTAGTTGAGAGTTCTTCCCTCTTTGTACCGGGTCGTCTGTTAGAGTTCTGTTAGGTTTGTTAGCGGTCTTTGTTGTATTCACATTGGTGTTTTGCATAGTTTTATGTTATTGTCCTTTCACTTATTTGTGGTGGTTATTTTCTTTCTGGTATTTTTTATTGTTACATGTCTTTTCTCTTATTTCTTTTCTGATATTATTGCCTTTCCTGTTGAGCCGAGAGTCTCCTGGAAACAGTCTCTCTGCCCTTTTCGGGGTAGTGGTAAGGTCTGCATACACTCTACTCTCCCCAGACCCCACTAGTGGGATTTTACTGGGTATGTTGTTGTTGTTGTTGGTTAAAAGCATTCACTGGCCAGCAAAGGGTCCAAATTTAAGCATCATACAGCCTGAAGGAAACAGAATCATCATCAGAGGTGATTCTTTACCTTCAGAGAAAGATCTTCTTGGCCATTGCTGATGATACTCTTTTGATGTGCTACCTTGGGACAGTTAAGTCATTTAATATAATTCTCACTGTTTTGAATCAGTTTCAAAGGTGTATGGTAATTGGAGAAAGAGTCTTATTTTTTCAATTAACAAAGTCAATAAACGTTAAGGAGTTGGCTGGAGTTTTGGGGTGTGAACTAGGTAATCTTCCCCACTAATCTATTTGGGAATGCCTTTGGGAGCTAATAATAAAACTGCAGGTCGTTGGCCAGGCGACAAGGGGTCCTAAAAAGTTGGGTAGATGGAAAAGTCAATACTTGTCTTTTGGGGGAAGATTGATGTTGGTATAGGGTCCTTGATGCACTATCCACATATGTGATGTCATTATTTCCTATGCCAGTTAAAGTGGAGAAAAGGCTGGATAAATTATGGAGGAATTTTTATGGCAGAATAATTAAAAAAAGATAGCTTTTCAACTAGTCAAGTGAAATACTTTAACACTCAACAAGAATGCAGGAGGCCTAGGCATCAGAAACTTGAGGCAATACAACTGTAGTTTAATGATGAAATGGCTGTGGAGATTCACTTAAGCAAAATATGGAAGGATTTTATCGACGAAAAATATGGCTTCCAAGGTTTTTGGACTACTACAAGAGTGACCACTCCTTATGGGATGGGGTTATAGAGGAACCTAGGAATATTAGAGCTTTATTGCAAAATTTTGTAAGTAATATTGGCTTCAGAGTGAGCGATGGAAGAAAGAACGCTTTTTTGGATTGGATTGGCCGTGCTCACTATTTTCAGATTTGTAGAGACTTACAGTTTCCTAATGCTAAGTTGACTACCACTAGAAGGCAAGATGGATGAAATTTCAACTTCAGGAGGCATTTGAATAATTAGGAAATGAGGATTTGCTGAATTTTTACAAGTACTAGATCCTTTCAATGGTTAAGGACAAAGTGAGGACACGCTAGTCAGCAAAGCTTGCAACAGGGGTGTTTTCACAATGAGTTCATGTGGGTTCTGATTCTTCTGGACAGCAAGGGTGTTCTTGGTCTTGGAGTCAAGTCCGGAAAATAATCTCAATAAAAATTAAATCCATCACCCTGGTGCTCCAAATCTCGCGATCATTTCTATAAATCTACAAATATCTAAACTCCCCCTCTATCAGAAATTGTTTGGCAATATAGCTATTTGGGGAAATCCAAACATTTGATTTACTTTACTATATAAAGTTTATGTTCAATAGTAGTTTTGCCTAGTTTTGCATATGTAATTTTTTAATTTCATAACAGTGAAATGTCCGAGGTTTAGCGGCGCAAATCAAATCTCAGTGAAATGCGCCCCCTTAAATACCAGGTTTTGGTTTGCGGCAGGGTTCTAACACGTGATGTACGCTTAAATCACGCATTCATGCATTGTGCGCTTACTACTGGACCAAAACCCTAAGGGCTTTTTGAATTTGTAAACTGGATTTCCAGAAAACCAAAAAAAGACAATCCGAATGTGAACCCCATCATTTTTTTCAATTAAACTTTTAGAGAAGTGAGGGCTTTGCATTCAATCAAACAATTAAGCACACTAATCGCCCAAAGGGGAGAAGACAATCATATTTTGACCATATCTAAACTCATTTGACAGTACAAAATTAATATTACGACAAAAAAATGTACCTCTCAGCAATGTAGTTGATCATGTCTATGCTACCAAAATTATCGATGCTAATTTTGAGTAACTGACCCTGGCTACGATCAACTGCAATCCGACATATCTTGTCCAACACCCAAGGCATTTTGAAATTATCACCTTCATTTTTCAAGTCAACAACAGACCACATAGCGGGGTTATGGCACACCTTCCACCAGGTATTCCAAACTCTCTGTGCACTCTCCACTATCTCTATCGCTCCCGGCCGCCGTAGAATGTCCATCGTAACCTCCCACGGAAGCTCCACCCACGGCGGCGATGGCGGTGGTGCTACAATTGACGAGGAAGATTCTTCCAAGTTTTCGTGTTCATTTGCCATTTTGCTTTTCTCCTCAAATTTTAGGGCTTTGATTTCGACGGAGCAAGGGAAAGCAAGTGGGCGTTCTCCTAATAGATTTAAAGTTAAAAAATAGGTCCTATCAGTGGAGGATAGAATTACACTGTATTTGGATCATTGTTCCTCGTTCTTTTATAATGTATCGTATTGTATTGTACTGTACTGTATTGTATCGTTTTGATGGATACAACGTTTGAATAGACTGTATCGTTTGCTGTTGTTAAATAACATCTTTATTGTTTGGCTTGACTGTATTGTACTGTACTGTACTGCTACGTTTACTAAAATACCCTCAATTATTTTATTAAAGGTTGGAAAGAGGTATAACACTTGAGACTAATGGTAGGGTCGAAGCATCTATATCTATGATTATTTTTTGCTATTTACATGTTAAATGGCATGTACTTGTCAAAATATGTAGTACTAAATGCTATTCTTTGAAAAATGATATATGAGATTTAATACGGATACAAGTAGAAGATAACTAAACAACCACAATATAGAGAAAACACATGAAGTGGAATGATATTGTTCCATATCTCAAATAATTCCAAACTTAAAGTGCATAATATAATAAAAATTTCTAGCAACATGACATATAAAATTCATATCGATCTAGTCAAAGTCTATAAAATCCTCAATAGCTAAAGCACAAAAAATATTTAGTCTAACTCAATTGCCAGGTGACGACATCAAGGTTAGTAAAAGAAATTTGCGGTCTTCCAATGGACACCCAATCAGTGTGCGGCACAAGTCTGCATGTTTGCAAAGAAATATATAAGCTTTCATGTGCATACTAGGCT